TTTTCAGGACCCCACCTTGAAGTTTTGGGACCCCACTTTGGGTCCCGACCCCATCTTTGGGAAACACTAATCTACAGATTGATTGTAATCGATGTATTGGGCACCCCTTGTGTACATGGTGTGAAATGACTATTGGTAAATRTGAATGTTGACTGATTTCATGTTTGACCCATTTTCCTTTATTTCTTCCTGAAAATAGGGAACTGACTCTGTTTTGGAGCAAGTTGTTGAAGCGATTGGAGCCATCGGACCAGGCCTTCCTCGACAGATGTCGTCAGATGTCCCTTGTATCCAAATCAGTCTACCACATCTTGTTCCTGATCAAGGTTGTCCAGTCAGAGGTCAGTGCACTCACTCAAAGTACAAGCTGAAATGGGCAAGAGTTGATTTTTTTATCACTTCTTTTTTAATTGTTGATGATAAATGTCAACAGTTAAACTTTCTTCATTTTGCTTTTTCATAGATTACCCATGTTGGCCTCTCATTGTGCATCGAAATGTGCATCAGGGCTCTAAGAATCAAATCAGAAGATGACAAGGCAAAAGGCTCTGTGTATAAAACCATTTCCTGTTTGCTTCCATCTGACTTGGAGGTAAAGCGAGCCTGTCAGTTGACAGAGTTTCTTCTGGAACCCACGGTAGATGCATTCTATGCTGTGGAGAGTCTTTACAATGAACCTGATCAAAAACTAGAGGAGGAGAATATGCCGATTCCAAACTCTCTACGGTGTGAGCTTTTACTGGTATTAAAAACGCAGTGGCCCTTTGACCCAGAGTTTTGGGACTGGAAAACACTGAAACGTCATTGCCTGGCTTTAATGGGTGAAGAAGCTTCAATAGTTTCATCCATTGACTTGCTAAATGAGCCTGAGGAAGAGGAAGACTACATGAGTTCTAAGGATTTTATGCCAGACCACATGTTCAGTGGCACAAATGACCTGGAAATTACTGCAAAAGATAAAGTGAAAAATCGAGAAATGAAGAAACTAAAGAACAAAAATTTTACATCAACTCAGTTCAGGAACTGGCAGGTCTACATGCAGTACTGTGTGCTCTGTGACAAAGAGTTTCTGGGTCACAGGATTGTCCGACATGCTCAGATTCATCTAAGCAATGGGATATACAGCTGTCCAATATGCGCTCAAACCTTTACCTCAAAAGACACTTTGATTCCTCATGTAACGTTACATGTTAAACAGTCTTGCAAGGAAAGACTGACTGCAATGAAAACAAACAAGTCACTGGCTTGTCCTGAAACATCTGCCTCTCGCGTTGCAGCATTAAAGATCAGCTCCTACAATAAACCTCACAAAAAAAGTTTGTTACAGCAGAATGGAGCTGCAGCACCACGTGTTMGTTCAAAAGAAGTCAGCTGTCGTGCAGAGATTAATGAAGACAACTTGTGCCCAGTTGGACAATGCAGAAAAAACTTCAAGTTTTTAAAAAATCTTATTGCGCATGTTAAAGATCATGGCGATGACGAGGAGGCAAAGACTTTCCTTGAAATGCTGAGCAAGAAGGTTGTGTGTCAGTACTGTCGTCGTCATTTTATTAGTGTCACTCATCTTAACGATCATCTACAGGTTCACTGTGGTGTAAAGCCTTACATATGTGTACAGCTGAAGTGCAAGGCTAGTTTCCTGTCTTACACTGAACTCCTCGTTCATAAGAGAAAACACACATCTTTCAAGGCCCGTTGCATGTTTCCAAACTGTGGTAAAATTTTTGATGCTGCTTTTAGACTGTATGACCATGAGGCTCATCATTATAAAACTTTTACCTGTAAAGTTACAGATTGCGATAAGGTGTTTCATTCACAACAGCAGCTGGATTTACATCGTGAGAAACATGATGAGCATCAAGAAAAAAGTTCATCTCCTAATCCATCTTTGACAGCGTCAAATTTGGACCCCCCACCCACTAAACAAATGGCTTCCGACATCTCTGCCCAGAAACAAGGGGATTTCCAACAAAATACTGCTGCTCGTAAAACAGATCATGGAGTACCATCAAATTCTTTTGAGGATTTACTGGAAGCTCAAATGGAATCTGCAGAAACATTAAAACCACCTAAGAACACAGTTTCTCCAAACAGTCAAATGTACAACTCTAATAACTCTGTCATTCAGTCTGTGCATTCCCATTTGGCAGCTCTTAACAAACACAAAGAGGATTTTGATCCCTTGGGTTGTATGGCACCACCCCAGAAAGATCCTTCAGTACGTCTGTTTAAAGACAAAAATATCCCACAAAAACATCCACAAACATTCAATGTAAATGATGCAGTGATTAGTTACAGCTCTGACTCTAACCTACCCTTAAAAATTTCACGAAAGGCAGTGTCTTGTAGGAACGTCTTAGCAGTATCACTGTCTCGAATTCCTACAGATCCCTCAATGTCGCAACCAAAGTCTCAAATTCCTGCAAATGCAACATCACGAGCAATGTCTCGAGTTCCTACAGACCCTTCATTGTCACAGTCAGTGTCTCGAGTTCCTACAGATCCATCATTGTCACAGTCAATGTCTCAAGTTCCTACAGAGCCATCAGTGTTGCAACATATTTCTCGACCTTCTAAAGATCCATCATTATGTCATCCACTGTCTCAAACCCCTACAGATCCAACAATGTCGCAATTAATATCTCGATATCCCAGAGATCCAACAATGTCACAACCAATGTCTCGATATCCCAGAGATCCAACAATGTCACAACCAGTGTCTCGATATCCCAGAGATCCAACAATGTCACAATCAATGTCTCAATATCCTATAGATCCAACAATGTCACAGCTTACGTCTCAACTTTCTACAGACTCGGCAGTGTCACAACTGAAATATCAGTTTCCTACAGATGCGACAATGTCACAACTGTTGACTCAAAATTGCACAGAACCAACAATGTCAAGATCATTGTCCCAAATTCCTACAAACCCAACAATGTCACCACCATTGTCTCAAACTTCTACAGATCCAGCARTATCACAACCAACATCTCGATATTTTACAGATCGAACTGTGTCGCAACAGATAAATCAAAGTTCTATGGATCCAATGGCACAACCATTGTCTCGAACATTTACAGGTCCAACAATGTCACAACCTTTATCTTTAACTCCTGCAGATCCAACAATGCCACAATCACTGTCTCAAACTTCTACAGATCCAACAATGTCACAACCACTTCCACCGACTGCGAGTCCTCAGCAACTACCTGCAAGCAAACTTGAGAACTCATTAAAGTCATCAGACATCATGGGTCCCTCTTTAACTCAGAAGCAGAGATTTCACTGTGCATTTGGGACATGTGCAAGACAATACAGCTCCTACAGAAGTGTTACCAAGCACATGAAAGCAGTTCACCCAGACTTCTACGAGCAATGGAGAGTTGCTCCGACTGAGATCATTATAAGCTATGTTTCAGCTCGGGTTGCACCATCTAAGCCTAAAAACAAGCAAGCCAGCATGGTTCCAGCTCATAGAGGTAAGAGGCAGAATTTTTTCCAGTCACAACCTTATTCTAACAGCAGCTCAAACCATCCTTCAGTTGCCCCACAGTCTCCTCATTCACTTCCACACAACTTGAACGGTTCTCTGCTCTTGGCTAATGTTTTGAATCCTATTGTTCTTTCCCAATTAGGGACAGACATAAATCCAGTACCACAATCTCAGGATTCAGGCAGTAAAATGTGTCACTCTACTGGACATGAACCAGCTCAGAACTGTGGCTCTTCCCCAGTGTTTCCATCTAATCAGCAAGGGATGCCACTGGCCAATTCTTCTGGTTCTATTGCCCCACACGCTGTCCCATTGTGCTCCATGATGAGATCAACTGTAAATTTACCAGAGTCCTCACTGTCACAACCTAACCTTCGACCACAGTCTGTTAGTCCATCATGCATTAAAAGTGCACACAAAGTGTCCCAACATGTCCAATCCCCTCCCAAATGCACATCACTAATGCAAAGCAGTTTAGTCTCTGTTTCCAGGACATCAGCAAAAATAAAGCCTGAGCAGCTCAGTTTCTCTGTGGAGGAAAACCAAAAGAACCAAACTCAATATGGTACAGACATCTCTGGATATGGTCCAGAGAATCCAGCCAGAAAACCCACAAGAACAAAATGTCCAGCAATTGTTACAAATGGTAAATTTGTTTGCCGACGATGTTTCAGGGAGTTTGATAGTCATAGATCTCTTGGGGGCCATTTATCCAAGAAAACTAGTTGTAAACCATATCAAGAGTTGGAGTTAAATACGAACCTGCCACCGTCGTTTCTAGATTTTCTCAATTCAGAGCCAGCTGGTACCATCTCTCAGCCACAAACATCTGACAGTGATGCTTCTGTGTATCACAAACTTAATGAGACAGTGACAAGTGGTTCACCGGCAACAAAAGATTACTCCACAACTAAATATTCACAAAATAATCTGTCAGCATATGAAAATGGTGAGTCAAATGATGATATTCTCAAGCAAATAATGTCTGAATCCAATATGTCTGATCTTTTTGTGCCAGGTCCTGCTCCTCAGCCGTTGTTCCAAAACATTTGTGCTCCCTTGGCAGTTAGTGAGCATTTACAAGGTACCTCAGTCATACAACATACAGAAAATGTCCAGGTGAAGCCAAAAGGTAACGCATATACCTCAGGCCACTGTCCTCGAACTGGTATTAATAGATTTGCTAGAAGTGAATTCTCTGACCTGGTTCTTTCACACTCCCTCACTGACAATCCTTCCACTACTGACACAGGTGGTGCATGCACAAACAGAACACCTGGGGGAATCATTCAAAGCGAAGAATACCACTTTAAGGCATCTACTGCAACACCAGATGCAGGTACAAACTCAGTAATGTTACCTGATGGTCAGCTAAGTCAAGCAGCAACAGGCTGCAAGCAGAATCAAATGATTCCCAAGGAGAAAGATATCAAAAAGAGGCTGCGTGAGCAGATTTTAGCTGGTGACTTTCAACGAAGAAACGTTTGTCCTTTTGGTAATGCTGACATAAAATTCAGTCCAAGAGCCACGGGACCTGAAACAAGTCCTTCCAAAGACTGTGACTTGCAGCAGTTTCTTCATGATGTTGATGTTGATTCTGTGATTAAAGGGAATTCTGTGGTTCCCCCCGGATCCTCTGATGAGCTTAAACAACTACTCAACACGCAGAGCTTTACTTGCTTTAGAGAGAGACACATGGTTCATCAGGAGTTACCCAGCCCTGCAATTATTCCACCAAGTGATTTTGATCCTACTGAAAATGATCCAGATCCCAACAGCCAACAGCAGTGTCTGACAGAGATCCAGTTGGCATTTGAAAGGCTTAATTTAGTCAGAGAAAAGTTTCACCACTCGTCAGCTTTTTTAAAAGAAAACAACACTTGTAAAGTCAATCAGACTTCATCTTCCAAAGTGAAGTCCCAAGTTTTAGATCCACCAGTTTCTGTCAAACCATTTGCCTGTGAGATTTGCCCCTTCAGTTCTGTGTCCTGTGAATCACTGTGGAAACATTTCTCCAAAGAACACAACTACACACACGACATGGTTAATGATGTCAAAAGAAAGTTAGGACTATATGCTCCTTTCAAGTGTCAAAAGTGCGTAAAGGCTTTCACTCGGAACTCAAACCTTCGTCATCACTATCTGTCTGTCCACAAATTATCATGTGAGGAAATAGCAAAATATGATATGCAGCGCAGGAAAGCTCAAACAGCTGCAACTTCTTTTCCAAAGCAGCGGGTCGGTAAAAATTCTCAAGCCTCTCATTCATCCAGAAAAAACAGGGCACCTCTGTATCCTCCCCCTACTGATAAAGGCATGAATAATCCTAAATCTCTATGTGACAGCCACTGCTCAGTCATTCGTCTCATGCACAACCCGGGACTGATCCCATCGGGTCAGGGACAGTCTACCACAATGGGATCCCCGTCAGTACAAGCAGGGATGTCCACAGATCATTGGCTGCAACAGCAAAGGAACTTCTCTCAGGTGCACAATCAACAGTTTCCCTCAATTCAGAGTTTTTCTGCCACACCTCAGAATACAGTCCCAATACCTCCAAAAAAAGAGTCTTTGAGTAGGCAAGTTCAACCAAAGACAGACATCACCAAGAAGACTAAAGTAAAGAAATCAAAATCAGAATCCAGCGTCAGTCAGTACAGACCATATCGCTGTGTCCATCAGGGCTGCATGGCAGCCTTCACCATCCAACACAACCTGATCCTCCACTACAGGGCTGTGCACCAGTCTGCTCTGTCAGCACTGGAGGTGAACAAAGAGCAGGAGCAGGCTGAAGATTCAGAGGAAACAGTGGAATGTGATGAAGAAGAGCGGGAGGAAGACTTCCCTCAGCTTACTGAGTTCAGATGTCAGGCCAAAGACTGCTGCTGTGTTTTCCAGGAAGCTCCCAACCTCTTCCTGCATTATCTTCTGTTACACGAGTTCTCTCTGGATAAAGTAGAAAGTCTCCTATCTTCCATCAGATATGGCAGGTTTTCTTGTGGTCACCAAGGATGTACTGAGTCTTTCACAGCATTCAGGAAATATGTAAAACACATCAAAGAAGAGCATAAAGATCTGAACTTGGCTAAATCTGAATTATTCAAATGTGAGGTTGACGGTTGTACTCGAGCTTATACCACCAAGTCAAACCTGCTGAGACATAGCCTGTCAAAGCACTCTGAGWTGCACCCAGAGAATCTAAAAGTCCAAGTGGTAAAATACAAAGACACAAAGCATAACTCCAAATCTTTGCATTACCAAATTACTAAGACAAGCGATGGAAAAGAAAACATTGAGAACAACAAAAAGGTTCCTCTGAGAGTAAATCACAGAAAGAGGGTGAACAAGTCAAGGAGCAAACATTGGCTTAAATATGGAAAACCTTCTCTGAAATCTAAAGTGGATGCAATCGCTTTATGCACAAAGAAGTTTCCTCTGCAATACCCGTGTATGATCAAAAGTTGTACGTCAGTCATGAAATCTGAGCGGGACATACTGAAGCATTACATCGGACATGGACTATCAGAGAAATACCTAGAGCAGCACCGGAGTCACTTCATCTTCTGTAAAAAGTTCCCCCGGCTAAAATGTCGTTCCATCAGGAGTGACGACTCCAAATCGGACAACGCTTCTGATCTGTCGGACAACGAAACGGCATCAGACCCAGTTCTGGAGGGAGGAGATCGTGATGGTTCCAAACCAGTCCTGCGCAGACGGATCCCAGTAGGGATGCCTATAGTCCTGTTAGACTCCAAGTTACCCACCGATCATCACCCCCATAGCTCTCTGACGTTAAAACGCAAACGAGGACGCCCGAGAAAACTCATCGACAAAATAGTTAAACGTAAAAAACTTCTACATCCAAGAAAAGTCCACGCGGTTCACTGTAAAGAGGAACCCAAGCCCCCTGAGCCCTCTGTTGTCCCTGAGAGGACGGATGAGAGCGCCCCACTGGCATCGTTCAAACCCATGGGCTTTGAAATGTCTTTCTTAAAATTCCTCGAGCAGTCTAACAAACCTGAACTCGGCTTGGTGCCATCAGTTACCAGAACAGAAAAAGGAAAAGCTCAATCCAAGCTGAAGGCCCAGAACACGTGTGTCAGGTTCAACAACCGTCAGAATCTAAAATTCCTGGGAAAGGTTAAGATCCATCTGGGCACAGCCTCAGCCCACATGTTGAAGCAGCTGCAGGACATGCGCCCTACAGTGGTGTTAGAAAAATATTATTAGATCCCAGACTGTCTTGGTGGGGGCGGGGCTTATTTTTGATTTGATGAGGACTTTAATGAGTAAAATCTGCCGTTGACTGCCACCTGWCATAAAATGTTTAGATCACACTTGTGTATAAAATGTTTCTCAGTTCCACTGTAATATCTGTAAATGCCTTTCATTTTTATATAGTACAATGTAAAGCATGTTTAAATAAGCTTTGTTTTTTTTTTGTTTTTTTGTTTTGTTGTTTTTTTCCCAACGTAATGAACTGATAGTCATGATGATCCCTGCAGGACACAACGGGGCTGAATTGATGTGTAGTTTGTGAAAATGTTAATTGTCTGTTTAAAATCAGCCACCAGCAATTTTATTATTTAACAGTTTTAGTTTTCTTTAGTCAGTTTTTTTTATATATATAACACTGTCATTCAGGCAATTTTTTTAGATGGTTCAAAGTTTGGAGCTGTTGCATGTGAAAAGAACAAATGATTTTGTTAAATTTTTTTGAATTAAACTCTACAAATGAAAAGTACAGGTGTTTTGTGACTTTTCTGCCACAATCCTAATGAAACCTGTTCACATAAAGATGTTTGGACTGTATTTGTTTGGTGTCCTTTAAGCTCAGATGTGTCAAAAGCAGTCTAAAGTACCACAAAGTGATACTTGAGTAAAAGTACAAGTATCGTACCATAAAACATCTTTGGTAAAAGTTAATCTCTAAGAATATTATTTGAGTAAAAGTCATAAAGTATCTGGTTTTTTTGTACTTAAGTATCAAATGTAAATTTCTGATATAAAATGTACTTAAGTATTAAAAGTAAGAGTGGTTAGATTTTCCATAATGATGGGAGGTGGCCTCCCCAAAAACATTTTTCTAAATAACTAATAAAATATTAATATTAAAAATTTAGGATGCACTAATGTAGCTGTTTCAGGTACTGTGTATATTTATATGTACTGTATAAACCACATCGTCTGATACGTCCTGCTGGAGTGTGACGTGCCATGTAGCTGTGATGGTTTGTCCAAACTAATATGTCAAAATGGTATATCTATATTTGTCTCATTCAAGCACAGTTTGATTCAGTCTATCCAGGAGGCACAGTTTACAGTATTTCTTTTAATAACAGGCTGAATGAAAACAAGCAAAAATTAACTAAAAGTAACGACCTTATACTTCTTGCACTTTTTAAAAATATAAGGCGTATAAAGTACAGATAAGTGTGTGAAAATGTAAGTAGAAGAAGTAGGCTGAAAAGTTCAGATAAACAAAATTTATATTTAAGCACAGTAACAAAGTATTTGTACTTAGTTACTTTACAACTCTGGTAAAAAAGTATTCAATCATTACTCAGGTAGAAGTATATTCAATTCAGTTTATTTATATAACGCCAAGTCACAACATACGTTGTCTCAGGGCACTAAATCTAAAGAAGAAAGCAGTAGACTGCGTTGAATCACTTCATCACAGTCTCCCATCCTGAGCAAACAGTGGAGAGGGAGAAACTCCCTGCTAATCAGGAAGAAACCTCCAGCAGAACCAGGCTCAGGACAGGAGACCATCTGCAGACCTCAAGGCTTCAAAAAGACATCTGTTGGAGTATCAACTCAAGCTTTTTACTCAAGTACTAGTTTTAAAACGACTCACAGAAAAAAAAAATGTGGATAAAAGYCTAACTTTAGTAAACTGGAAGTTTACAAAACCGGTACAAAAATTGACATCCACGAGTATAACAAAATGCTCGTTGAGCAACAAACCTTTCATGCTTTCATGTCTAATGTTGTCCGCCTTTTAATGAACGGAAGAAACGAGCAGTACAAGAACTGTGGGCTGAGAGATACATAAAAAAGCCTGTGACGTAATAAAATAAATTCTGAATCTGGGTAGGTGATGAGCTGGAATGAAGTGCGAGTAACAAGGTTATTTCTTAAAATGTAAGAAGTGAAAAGTCATCTGCAAAAATTAATTCAGTAAAGCATAAATAACCAAAATTTTCTACTTAAGGCAAAAAACAATATTTGTACTTTGTAACTCAACACATYTGCTTTAGCCTTTCATAGGAAACTAATATTTTCCTTATTTCATATTAAGCAATATGTGTAACAAAATATAAAAGCTTCACGAGACTTGAATCTAGTAACCATGAAAATCTGCTGAAATGTGACTCTAAGCAACATTTTTCTCTAAAAAGGAGTTTATGGCTTCTAATAAAAAGATATTTGGACAGACATACAGGAAAATAAGTGCAAAGAAATGAAAATGCTGAAAATTTAATTTATTTTTGTTCAGGCCTGTTCCATTATTTTTTTAAATGATCGAACCACAATTCAAAAGCAATGTCTGATTTTTATTGGTTAATTTCTAGTAATTTTTTTAGGTATTACTTTTGTCGGTTTCAAGTTACACAAAATCAGCAACATCAGCACTTTGAGTAAACTACCTGACAGTGTTTAGTAAATGTTTCACCTTACAGCTGTTGTTTTTCAACTGTTATTTAAAAGAAACCTTTTCAGCGATCTGAAGTTTGTACAACGTATCGCAACAAAACTTTTCACAATGTGATTTAAAACTTCAACCAACTCTTTTACAGTGGTTTGCAAAAGTATTCATACCCCTTGAACTTTTCCATATTTTGTCACATTACAACCACAAACATAAATATATTTCACTGGAATTT